ATGACCAGTTGTCCAGATTTGTCTTTTTAGCCAATAATCTCACATCTGCATTACAAATGCACTCTTCATGTTACAAAACCGTCTTATACAGGAAAAGCATAAGTGAGGAAATGCTAATTGTAGAAACCTAATATTACAATAATTACTAGGGATGTCCCGATCCGATCACATGATCGGAAATCGGCCCCGATCACATGGTTTCAGACTGGTCGGGACTCGGGCTTTACTTCCTGATCCAAGCCCCGATCCGGAGTTGGATACTGGGTTCAAATTACAGGAGAGCAACTTGGTTCTCCTTAAAGGTTGTCAGGCTCCCCTGATGCCCTTAACTTACACACCCAGAAGGAGCACAAAAGAGATCCAGTTTCTACCTTTATTATATTATATTATATTATATTATATTATATTATATTATATTGTATTGTATTATATTATTTATATGGACTCAGCGTAGCGGGGATTCTTTTGAGCAGAGATGCAGAGAGCGGCAGGCAGACCGCTGATTATTCATGAACTCCAGCTGCGTTCTGCACACGACCACAGTAACATTTTCTAAGTTTCTAAGTGGCGTCACCGAAAAATATATAATTAACACACAGTCATTTGTGTCCGTTCATTTACTCTCTGGTAAGGTCTGTGTGGATTTGAGCATGACGTGTAGACGCGCTCGCGCTGCAGCGCTCGTCACTGGCGCAGCCGGGCAGCGCAGCGCACACTCCACTTTTTTAGTGGTCAATAGATCAATTTGATCTGCTAGTTAAAAAGTTACTTGTGAGGTGAAAAAGGAAGCAGGCAGTTTTTTTTTTTGGAGGACTGGGAGATGCAGGAAGAACAGAGACAGACAGGACAGGAAGATAGGAATTAAAAACCAAGAAAACAAAACAAAGTTCTTAAAACATTAAACGTAGGTAGATAGATCCCACTACACGTTTGTACCTGTATAAAGCAATCATTTATCAGCATGTAGTATTTATATAGTTGATACCATTCAGATCATCTTCAAAACTCCGTCCCATGCCCAGGGACGTATCTAAGCATTTTGGGGGCCGAGGCAAAATAGACCCCTGCCAGGTATTTAAGTTGAAGTGCTATCTGTTTTTAAATTAGACTTTTTATATTTGCAATAAAGTCCAAAAGTGAAGAATTTATGTTATTTATTACTTGATTGTTGAAGCTACCTCACAGACGTGATCTGTTGTTAAAAATTAAAATAAAAGGTAATTACATAAAAAAATAAGGAACTTTCTGGAACTGTTTCTTCCTTTTCTTTTTTTATTTTATGTATTGAAAGTATCAGATCGGGACTCGGTATCAGCAGATTCTCAAAATCAAATGACTCGGACTCGGACTCGGACTCGAGGGCTAAACAACCTGATCCGGACATCCCTAATATTTACTGCTGTTTGTTAAGCAAATGTTGGTTATAACTCTGTCATTCCCGCCGGATGACCTCACAGTCTCTGCACGAATCTCACACTGTCTTTCTGACATATCAAGATTGATGAAATCCCACCAAAACCATCCATGCGGCACAATATCTCAGTCCAAAATGATTCCCTATCTCTGGCTCCTTCAAAGGCAGTTCGAAATATGGGTGTTGTGATTGATGACCAGCTGACCTTTAAAGATCACGTTGCCTCTGTCGCTTGTTAATGCCGCTTCGCGCTGTAGAACATACAAAAGATCAGACCGTATCTTACACAATCTGGCACCTGGTGCAATCTCCTGTCATCTCCCACCTTGACTACTGCAATGCCCTTCTAACTGGTCTTCCATCCTGTACTGTGAGACCTCTTAAAACGGTCCAGAATGCAGCGGCGCGCCTGGTCTTCAATGAGCCTAAAAGAGCACATGTCACCCCTCTGTTCATTGAGCTCCATTGGCTACCGCTAGCAGCACGCATCAAATTCAAATCACTAGCACTAGCATACAAAGTCCTGGATGGTACGACTCCCATCTACCTGAATCCTCCTGCAAAGACTTACGTCACGGCCCGGCCGCTCCGGTCATCACAGCATCGTCGGCTAGCAGTGCCTACACCACGCGCAGGACAATCCAGACTCTTTGCATGTGTCGTTCTACAGATGTGGAATGACCTACGGAGCACTACTAGAACAGGGACTTCCTTGTTGATTTTCAAGAAACTCCTGAAGACCCAGCTCTACAGCGAGCATCTTTTAAACTAGTACCCTCCCAGCACCCGTCCCCCACTCTACTGCACACTCCGTGTTCACTTCCCTCTGATGGGTTATACTGCATCACTGCCACCTAGGATTGACTGAATAGTGTTTGTTGTTAGCCTCAAGGGCAACCTGATGGCTTGATTATCACCTGTAAGTCTCTTTGGACAGAAACGTCTGCTACATACATAAACATAAACTTTTGTCCTTAGTAGCAGCTGGAGTTTAGTTTGACTCTTGAGAACCTTCTCCTGGGAGCAGTGTTCATTTTGACAAGTGTAAAGGACATGTTAACTACTCCTACTTCAACTGTAAAGAAATGTGTAAAATTCACATTTCACACTTTGGATCAATAAAACTCTATATTTATAAATGTTTTTATTACAATAATTATTGGAAAATACCAAAATGAACACTGAGCATTTCTAATTGTGCCTCTCAATATTAATAGAATAAATACATCTGAATAATGTGCAGTAATGTTTGGAAACATGCCAGGAAGTGACTTTATACCATCAAAACCTTTAAAGGTGTTACTCTAAAGGTAAACTAAAGGTAAGAAATGTTCTCAGGTGTATTTATTAGAGTTATTATTAGACAGGTTGATGAAGGTGGGACCCCGGAACATTTCTGCTCACAGAAGCACAGCTAGAACAGAGAATGCTAATCGTATCGGCCGTAGCAGCGCCTTGAAAATATAAAAGACTGGACAACAAGGTGTGTGGCGCGCTGCTCCGTGGTTCGGTTCGGTTCAGTGAGATGCAGCATCCCCCTCCCACCGCCTGCTAGCTGCTAACAACATCGTAACTCTTTTATAACCGAGGGAAACCCCAGATGTGTACTCACCAAGCAAATACTTTTTACATTGTCACATCTGCTTCTTTTACTTCCAGTCGCAGACATTTTCTCCCTTTAGACACAATTTTTACTGCCATAAACTCTGGTTAGCGGTAGCTTTTTCAAACACAGGCCGGCTCCGGATTCCGATTCCGGACTGTTTATTTTCTCATCTAGTCCCGTCCGTTCCATTTGCTGATTGGTTCTTTTTACCGGTCACCCATCTTTTCAGTTTTCTGGCTGGATTTTCGTTTCTGTCCATTTTCCTTGTCGTCTCTTATTGGTCAACGAAAATGTTGCACAATATTCGTCCAAATTGAGTCATTATTGGTGTTTGTGGAGTTTATTTATATATATATTTTTGTTTTAGTCTGTGAAAATTCTCTCATCACACACAAAAAAAGAAGAAAATATTTAGCCAACAAAATGAACACTGCCTCTGAGGAGTTGTAATTGAAGCTAGCAGGATCGTGATGTTCTGCATGAGTGAGGAGCTCCAACGGTGAATCAGCCCACAGATGCTACTATAATATCAGTTACTATGCTTTTAGAATCTGTTTTTGTTTTTCTTTGATGTGTCTGGTGTATACTCAAGAGCTGTTTGACCTTTACTGCACCGTGTAGATCTCACCCCACCCGTCCATCACTCTACCATTGGTGTCCCTCCATTTACTCAGCTGGAGGTCCAAAATGGGGCTCAGCAGGGCCCACAGACTCAGCAGAGGGTAGACAGCCTCTACTGCTCTTTCATAAGTGGTAGTTAACTAGGAGCCTCCAATCCACCAACCAGTGTGTTCATTTGTCAACATGCGCTGCAGAGCTAAGACATTTCAGGCCAAATTGTTGCTCTCTGCCTCCCGGAGGAACATTTTTCTACATATCCATGTACCAGGACTAATTGGGCACAGTGTGCGATCACTGGGAGGCCCAGGCAGATGCAGCTTGAGCGATCCAATAAAGAAGTGCTGGAGAGAGGTTGGCTGTAGTTGCCTGGAGAGGAGATTCCTGTTTTCATGACTTGGGGAGGTTGACTTGCAGGGACAGAGTTCAGTCTCATCGGACCTTTATTGCTGTAGGAAAAAGGCTTATTTACTGTAAACTGTTTATGTGGCTCTGTCACTATCTCTGAATGTGCTGAATAAACACAGGAACACACTCCCACTCCTAATGTCTTATAAACACCAGAAACGCGGACGCAAACACACACACACACACACACCACACACACACACACACACACACACACACACACACACTGGCAGGGAGACAGCAGTAGACCCTGAAACGACACTAGACTCTGGGTGACTCACCCTCTCACTCACACACACTCACACACTGCATACTTGTTAACATAATCACAGTGGATACATACTTGCCCACACCCTGGGTTTCAGAGGGCCGTGTGCATTCGTGCACAATGCTCTACCATAAATACACAGTTGCACTAAAAAAAGAAGCTGCATGCAAACACACAACTCCTTGTCTCAACAATGCCCAAGTCCTGTTAGGTTTATCGGTGTCCCACTTGTTATACAAATTGGATAAACTCTTCCTACTCGCTTTCAGTCCCAATAATTCAAACTGTTTCCCGTCCATTTTTATTTACGCGGACGGTTCAGTCCTGCATGTTTATGGAGCTGAATCCTGTAAAACAAGGAAGAACAGAAAAAAAGGAAAAAGAAGTCACAGATGTCAGGGAAAGAGGGAAAAGGCCTGAAGTGTGTGGACTCACTGCCAGATATATGGTATCACACTCTGTGGAGCAGCTTGAGCAGATGAATCATCGAGCTGCAGGATTTCAAATCCATCTTGGAGCACAGACGTTCTGTTTCCTGCCTCGTTTGTGTTGTGCACTTAAACAGACACGTCAAAAAGAATGTAATGTGAAAAGTGTGTTTGGCCAAGTGTTCCAGCTTAATAATGGTTTTTCCGTCTATCTCTGTATCCTCACCCTCCTCACCTGCCTGCTCCCCCCTCATGAAGACCCAACCTCTTTGGGGCAGGATGTTTTGCCATTAGAACTCCGTGGTGAGTTTTACGTCCTCGGCTTCACCGGCAGCATGCTCCATCAGAGTTCACCTCCCCACTTTCCTCTTTGTTTGTCTGCCTACTTAAGCCTGGTTTATGCTTCTCCGTCAGCTCCGCAAGGGACAGACACGCACGGATTGACGGAAGCGTTTTGCTTTCATACTTCTCCGTCTCCTGGAGAGTGTTGCAAAGCAATTGCCCGCCAGGACAACAGAGGGCGTAGCGCTGTTCTGTGGTATCCTGTCCTGTATCGGTCCAAGATCGTGTGTTTATATTGTGTTTTTTGTGTATATAAGAGACTTTTAGCACGGACGTATTTGTCTCTCATTCGCCCACCGCTTCATGCGCTCCATTCCATTCCATTCCATTTATTTGATAAAGCACATTTAAAAACAGCATGTGAGCTGACCAAAGTGCTGTACAGGGGTAAAAACATATAAGGTTAAAAGAATAATATAAAAGAATAAAACAACTAGAGCAGAACAAAAAGAACCATGAGAAGTCAATAAAATCAGTCAAAGAACAGTGTAAATAAACCATCGATAAAATAGCTAGGTAGTAAAAGCAAGAGAATAAAAATAAGTCTTTAAGTGGGACTTAAAAACCCCAATGGAGGAGGAGATTCTGATATTCAGTGGGAGATCATTCCAAAGTTTTGGAGCGCAGACAGAAAAAGCTCGTTCACCACGGGTTTTGCAGCGTTGATGGGGAATCTGTAGTAGGTGTAGGTCACCTGAACGGAGAGTCCTGCCTGGCACATAAGGAGTGAGTAACTCGGATATGTAGGGTGGTGCTAAGCCATTCAGCGCCTTAAAAACAAACAATACAATTTTAAAACGTATGCGGTAGTGCACAGGAAGCCAGTGAAGTCTTGCTAAAATTGGAGTGATGTGCTGACGACGGCCAGTATTGGTCAGAAATCTTGCCGTCGTATTTTGTATCAGCTGAAGGCGAGATAATGCAGCTTTTGAAATACCAAACAGAACTGCGTTGGAGTAGTCCAACCTTGAGGTGATGAAAGCGTGAATGGTTGTCTCGAGGTGGCGCCGATTCAGAATGGGTTTTAGTTTGGAAAGACGTCTTAGCTGATAAAAACATGATTTAACCATGTGATTAACGTGAGAGTCCATTTTTAGAGCCACATCCATTTTAATTCCAAGATTAACAATTGTCTGACTAATTTTAAAAGGAAGAGCAGAAAAATCAGGAGCGGAGGAAGACGAGCCATTAGGAGTAAAAACAACTAAACCCACGTTTCCTGTCATTTCCGTCCACAAATAAAATGCTTGCTGCACATCTTTTCACTCCTGCAGTCACGGGAGAATTAAACGTTCATATTTTTAGAGTTTTTTCGCGAGGTATTCTTCAAGCTTCTCCGTGTCTGCCGCTAGTTAAACTCGGCTCTCTTTGCAATGGCGGCGCTGTAAACAACAGCGGCGTCCTGACCAATCACAAGCTTGCGTAATCCGTCTCGTTCGATGGATGTTTAAAAAAGTGGGCTCGGCTCCGTACGTACTTGCGTGCCTGCCGGAGCCCTACGCCAGGACGGATAATGGCGTTGTGTGTCTCCGCACTGATGCAGACGGAGAAGCTTGAATCATGCTTTAGTTTTCATCAGTTCATGTTGCTATTTGTCAGGGATGTGAGGTGTGTGTGTGGTCCTTATTTATGTTTATGTTTTATATATGTGTGTCTTATTTTGGTTGCATCACCCTCTTATTCATTGCTTGTAAATAAATACAGTAAATAAAGCTTTGATTGATTGATTGATTGATTGATTGATTGTATGTGTGTTTTTGATCAGTAACTCGTCTGTTTTGTGCTGATTTAAGTGACGTCTCTCTTGAGGAATCATTTATGTTAAACTGGAGATGACTCTTTTGCTTTATCAACTTTAGCTATTATATAATTGATATAGTTTGCATCTTAGTGTAGCTACTTTTTTGTTTTCCTAAACAAAACATTCAGCATCAGTCAGTTGTACATAGAAAGATCGTTGTCCCGGTTTCACACTGAAAGCATCAGCGGTGCGGAACGGGCAGCGGAAAGTCGCTGCTTCAAATAGAGTCCATTATAGTCTATGGAGGGTTTCAAACCAGCAGCGACGCAGCGATTTTCAGACGCGTCCCAGAAGAGGCACTTAAGAGAGGATCAGGTTCTATTTTCGCTGCGAGCCACTTCTGTGACACGTCTGTTTCTGCAGTTAACATAGGACTAGACAGGAAATCACACACTGTTTCAGTGTAAAATCCCAGGTAATTTTCAAAATAAAAGTAATTAAGCAAGGCACTTTTATAAATATGAAACTTACGTGTGACCCAACGACTTATTTACTCCCAGTATCGTTCCAGAAGTGCAGCTGTGTGTTTTTCATGGCTTTAATCCTGGCAGTGGAGAGGAATAACATCAATTATGACATCAAACAGCGATTGATCAGGGTTTCCCCCAGAAAAATTGATTGATCTCCTTCCTTTTGGTTTTAATGGCGGATATCATAAACAAACCGGTACCTGAAGTCTGGAGGGATTTTATGATCTCGCGAGTTTAGCGAAGAGCACTGCGAGGAAGCCGTGCTGCGACCAAGACTCTCCCGGTGTGAAAAGGACCGCTTTGAAGTAAACCGTTACGCTGCTGTTTCGCGCCGCTGATGCTTCCAGTGTGAAACGGGTTCATCTTTCTAAGACTCTGTATATGTGGTCAACTGTGTTAAAAAAATACTATAGATACTAGAGGTCAATTGAAACGGGTTTTTCTATTGCTGATACTGCTGCCGGTGTATAAGAGACATGGTCAGCCGATGGCCGATATGAACGGCTGATTTCCATGGCCGAAATCTTGACATTTTCCTCTTTATTTTCATGCTAAAAGGTCACTAATAACATCGATTGATGCACAACATTTTTGAAGCTGAACTCTGAGTTTAACTAACTGTTAAATCTTAACTTTGTGCACTGCTCAGTGTTAAAGTCAGACACCTAAATCAAGTTAATTTAGCGTAATTATATTCAGATGTTATTAGTGAATGTCAAAATATATTTCAGTTGCATTCTGCAACAGCACCAGGCTGCCCGAGGATGTGCCTGACTTTAAATCCGCTTTACTAAAGGTATAAAAATATTGGCCGGTGCCGATGTAGATATCGATCCGCAGTATCGGCCAATCAGTATATCAGTCTACCCCGATACCGTTCACAATAAACCTTAAAATCTGCATTTTATCTGGAAAATGAATTACCCAACATTTGAAGTAGCCTTTTCCACTTAAAAAACAGAACAGCAAAACAAATTAGTGTGACAAGAAAAGAACAAATATTTGAATCAGTGCTGCGCTGTGGTTTGGACATGTATTGATATCTGGAAATCAGCATTCACAATTTAAAACATTTCCAATAAGTCACATAAAAACATGTTGAATGTTAAGAGTTTGATCATTCCCACAGCAGCACATAGGCAGTGTTAGCATCGTGACGACATAAGTTGGGACTCTATCGCTTCTCATATTGTAATGTTCAACATTTGTATCACAACTGCATGTGTTTCTAATGGTGCGGTTTTTACTTTCTGGCAAATGCTCAGCAGCTGAAGACTTCAACGTCTGTTCAAGGATGTTTATTTAATATTATAGGAGAGAATTCTGAATGCATGCGTCATTACTGCTATCTGGTGATATCCGATGCTGACCAGCAGGACGCCTCATTACGACACGGTGACTTAGGGTGTCTGAGTGACTCAGTGAACTTTTCCCTTCCCGGCTCCTCCCTGCTGACTCTATTCACTTCAGAAAATGAGTAGCATGTGGAGCCGTCAAGCCTTGGGTTTCTTCTTTTGTTGTGGGCAGTCATTCGGCCTGGTTTTGCCACCTGCTTCGAAGAGCTTCACTAATTTCAGAGCAAATGCATTTAAAGCTGCACATTTGTAGCCATCACAGCCCTCCCCTAAACCTCTTTGTTTTATATTAGTTGCACTACAGCTGGCATGTCCACATTCTCTTTGCTGTTATAAAAACTCCCAACATTTCCATTTCGAGTTTTTCTTGTTTTGCATTTTCCGTTCGTTTTACTCCGACACCTTGACATTTCTCGGGCTTTAAACCTTTTTTATTTCATGTCAGAACATTTCCAGCATCATTCTGATAAAATCCATGCTGCTGCATTCCTTTGCTTGTTATGACTCACTGGTTTGTATTAGAATCTTGAATACTGCTCTTCCTTTATTCAGAAAGGGCTCAAGGCTCTCTCTCTCTCTCTCTCTCTCTCGCTCTCTCGCTCGCTCTCTCTCTCTCTCTCTCTCTCTCGCTCTCTCTCTCTCTCTCTCTCTCTCTCTCTCTCTCTCTCTCTCTCTCTCTCTCTCTCTCTCTCTCTCTCTCTCTCTGTAATAAAATAATGAAAGTAACATCAAAGGATGTGTCCTCTCTTTGTTCCTCTTTATTTCTTGTTCCTAATCTCATCGTAGAACCATCTCCTCTTTTTAGAGCAGTGCAGAATCCGTGCAGCCATGCAGCTTTTTGTCACTGGCCGGCTGGCCGCCCGGCTAAAGTCGCCTCTGTAATATTTGTTTACTGAGAGAGCTCTGAAAATAAATGCAAGCTGCCGCTGGACGTCCACCCCCCCGAGAGGCGCCTCACGTTAGCTCCGGACGCAGTAATGCAAAGGGACTTTGATGGTTGATGTCACAGATTGAATTATGCCCTTGAGGAAAAGCTATTAGCTCAGTCAAGGGGCCTCATTTGTGAAATTAAAAGTGGAAATGACATGTGAGTAGTCTTTTCAGTGAATTAAAGTAGCGAAGAAAATGGATTCCACTCCCCGCTGAAAGTGCTCTGGCACCAAAAGAAACCTGGAGGAGGGAAGGAAAACAAGAGCTTTGTCATTTGTTTAGAAACATGTAGCTCCTCGTGCACCCAAGTTCCTCTGTGTTTGTTTATATTGAGTAGTTTACTGATATCGTGTTACATTTTTGTAACTTGGTGCCGTTTGCAGAAACCGTTACCCCACCAGTGTTTGACTTCATGTCCACATTCTGCAGTCCACATGGAATCAGACTGAGCCACGCGGGCAGAAACCTCAGCACTTTGAGCGACTTCCAGTGAGATCAAGAAGGAAAATGTGATTTAAAACACAGACTATTGCGTTGTAGTGGTCACTGTTCTCAGAAGAGACAGGAACCTCGCAGTGATCTGAGCTCCAGGCCTGTTTAAAGAGGTCCAGACCTGCTTTTATGGAGGAGAACCCAGTGGGGAAACCAGTGTTTATCTAGATTTGTGACACTTCATGTGTTTACACAACATGGCTCTATAACATTAATGTGAACATAGATGGGTTTTGCTGTTACGTATTTTCTATTAATTTGTCTGAAAGTGGTTCAGGATCTTTGGACTTTAATTAAAAATGACCCGTGAGTAGAATAGAGCAGGCCCTAAGGGTCATTTTGGGTCTTGTTGTGTTCTAGATGTTCTCACATACCAAAGACAATTCAGGGACAAGAGGATCCTACACATCAGCATTATTGAGTTTGTCTCCCCTCCAGCAGTCTTCCACAGAGCAACCTTCTCCTCTGGGATAGAAGCTTACTTAGAGGTCTTTCTTTTGACGACAATCACCCGTTCATTTCTCTGGATCCTCCTTCACACACTTTCCTTTGCATCAGGGAGTAATTAATGAGATGCTGGCGGTCTGAGAGGAGGCAACTTAACAGCTTTTACCAGAGAAGGGTCTTCCTGCACCTGGACTGTGAAAGTCACTTGAACTTTTTGACACAAGACCGTATAGTTGGACAGAGGTTGTCATTACAATTATTATTATTATTATGTTTATTTCTGTTATCTAATGGGCCTTTTCCAATAATAATGGGTCTGTGGGTGCCATTCCTTTAGCTAATTCAATGTTGTTCCAAGTGTATCGAGCTGAACTAAAAATGTGAGGTTGGAGACTGTTGGCTACTGATTGGCTGGAGGATAGAGTCACTGGCCACTGATTGGCTGGAGGGTAGAGTCACTGGGTGCTCCAGAGTTCTTTGCCTTGATGCCTGGAGACGTTTCCAGCTTGCTAGCCTTTCCTCTGTTGTTGGGTTGTGTAACAAACTGATCACCTAAGGCTACTTTTTGTTTCAGGTACCTCCAGCTAACTGTAGATCTTTGGAGGCTGCCCGCTATGACAATCCCACCCATTAGAGCTGTTTGTCAGTTGATCGAGATGGAAAGGCACCATACACAAAAGAATGGCCACCATCAATTCACCATCTACATGCCAAACCAGGGTTTTTCCTGGCTCAAATTGAGTCAGAGATGGTACCAACCTGACCATGCACCAGCATACTCTGTGCCTCACTTTTTTAAAGGCAAAATATTATAAAAGGCTCAATAATATGCATTAGATTGGTGTTTAGTTCCCTTTTTCCCATCGGATATTTATATTTTTAAATAATTGACCTACATTTCAGTAACATTTTAGGTTTGTATTAATAACACTCATCTTAGTCGAAATAACACATAAATATATCCAGTAAAATATAATGCATTTCATTGACGTGCAATCGTATTGGAAATGGTAATAACATTTAATTCCTGCTGCTAACAATGTAATGGTGGCATGTCTATTATGTACGGGTTGGCAATAATCCAGTTCAAATTATGTTCAAAGCATTGTGAATAACATACTACAACGGCTTGCCGTACTTCCTGCGCCAGACTCGTATCTGCAGCGGCTCTGATCCGTAGCGCTGCAGGATGCAGAATAAACAGGATGGTGGGGACTTTTCATCCACTTGTAGAGTTTAGTCTTTCTTAGTTTTACGATCTTCATATATTTTTCTGTGTGCCACTTCATTGTGAGACTGCTACCCTTTAGCTTTCAGCATTAGCCAATCTGCGTGTAGCTGCACTTTTGATCCCAAACTTTGGTTCTGCCTTTGTGCCTTTGCTGGTTCCTCTATTTTCCTCCACTGCATCCAGATGACCACACTGTGCGCCAGTAAAAAGCATTTTTCTTACACGTAACTTACTTTTCTTCAATAAAGTTTGGGGTTAAATAGTCATTCAAAGATGTTGCACCAGTGCTACGTTTAAAAATAGACAAGACACGCACAGACAGTTACAGCCCTGCCCTGATACAGAAGAGCCTGGGGGAAAGTCAGGACGTCAATAGCACCAACCATAGATATGTAACTAGCAAGAAAGGCCATTTTTGATCTTTGTCGGCAGCTGTTTTAGCGCTTTTCGGTGCACTGCTGCTGATGCAGCGCCCTGTAGTGGTGCAACGCTGCAACTGCAGTTAAAACAACATCCATACAGCTGAAGGCAGAGTGAAATCAGGCTGGGGCGGCACAGAATCAGCTGGAGGCGGCCGCCACGCAAATTTGAATGCAGGAAACACCCTGCAAACTCATTGTCTTGTTTCTAGTGGAAACATTACTCCAACTAGCTATTTTGTTGTGTCATCTTTCATTAACTTCTAAAAGATTAGTTAAAATGGCTTCAGATGAAATAATCAAGGTCTTTACGATAATAACGTATGTTCTAGAGCAGGGGTGCTGAAGTGTCTGAGGGCCACGTTAAAAAATTACCATGATGTTGCGAGCTGGGGCCACAAAGAGGGGACCGCCTGTTGAGTACCACTGTACTAGACTCCACCTTTAATGGAAACACAGAGTTATTTAATCTCTAACCTGCTTCAAGGATCCAACCTGACCCATTGATCTTCTGTAGATGGGAAGGTTCTGGTCAGGGAGTAAAGGATGTGGGTCTTCTAACTCCCAGCCCACATCTAACCTAGTTTTCTGCAACCAGATTTGATCTCAGGCTGGACAATGATTCCAGATCTTTCTACTGAAACTGAAAACCTCTGTCTTCTTCCTGATCTGTTGATTATCCCAATGACTTTGGCATTGATTCTTTCCAAAGTGAGTTGGACAGTTGGATATGGGGTGTCTGTATGTTTGTTTAATTTGGTGGTCAGAAACATCTAGTGTGGTTTGAATCTTAAAGCCCTTTCTGGATCTATGTAGGCGTAACTGAGATGCACAATTCACAAGTTCCCTAAAAAGCATAAAAACTCCAATAAAACATATTGAATGATAACAAATCCAAAAAAAATAAAAAAAGCTCACATCACATCAAATGCAGAGATGTAATTTCACCAGTGTGTGAGGATGACTAATGGGACTAACCTTTACCTCACTAGTTGTGCTGGAATAAAATAATTGTTTATAGTTCCTTGTTACAGAGAAGAGATTTTTATTGGCATATCTCTGTTTTTCTTTGCCCTGCATTTTTGTATTCTCTGAGGACATTCTTTGTGTTTCTGTTCTTATGTTGGACAACATTTTATTTTAATTATCGCATTAAATTGGTCAAATTATTATCCTTCTTCACTGAAGAAATACGGAGACTTGCAAATCTGACAAATGTATGTGAACACCCGAAGGACCAATTTAATCACCGCGGAAATCTGCGGAAGTTTTGCAAAAGTTTGTTGTGAGCAAAGTACATCTTCTTTAGGCTTGTTGTAACAGTAAAGATCCTATTTAGTCAAAGGTCTTTTATAAAAGTTCCAACACCAACATTTTTACTCTACTTCATCTAAACCTTGTAATTCTGTTTCCTTTCTGAAGCAAAGCCAAGTCACCCCCTCAGATCTCTCCAAGTAAGTCCAGTGGAGGGGAGTTCTGCGTTGCTGCCATCTTTGCCTCGTCCCGATCCTGGTTCATCACCAATCCCAACTTGAAAAGAGAAAAAGGTTAGATGCACCCTTTCTCTTCTGATTTGCCTGCTTTCTGTGATGCATTCAGACAACTCTAAACTTCCTGGATAGATTTTAGAAGGTGCCAAGATCCCAAAAACTATGAAACTATGAAACAAATGTAGTTTGGAACTCAAATTTGTAATCCAAGCTAAACAAAACATCTGCATCTTCAAGTATAAACAGTATAAAAAGTCCACAAGCTGAGCAATTTGTGCAAAAATCTTTAAAATACTCCAACTTTTGTAAAAGCAATTAAATATATGGAAACACAAATTCTGCCTTATAAAATCCAACCATTGTGGTCAGTTTAAACTGAAGGCTTCCTGGCTATAGAGTTCCAAAGACGGCACTGTTTATACATCGACACCCTTAATATAAATAAATTTGAATCTCCCTCCTCCAAAATTGTACGCGTTTCTATTCATTAAACGTATGTATCTTTCTTAAAGCTGATTTTTTTGTTTCCTTCCTCCCCGCAGATCAGTCCCGACAGTCAGTGGTTGACTCGCTGTACATAATCAGTTGCTACGGTAACTTGATGGAGCATGTCCTGGAGCTACGACCAATTAGCACTGCACAAAAAATAAGTGATGATACTCCTTTGGAGCTTAGTACATCTCCCAGGGCGTGCTGGACTCTAGCAAGGTAACACCATGGTGATTACTTTGTCCTCATAATGGATCCTAAAACCCGGTGGACTTAAGGCGTTTGTTCCTATGCTGCAGGACTCCACAGTGGAACGAGCTGCAGCCACCCTTCCTCACCAACCATCCTCTGGTGTTAGCATCTGACCTGGTCCAGTACTATCAGTATCTTCTTGCTGGTAGGTGCTCTCGTTGTTCCCCTTATTTTCTGAGTGTATCTTACCTGTGTGTTTGCGTGTAGGAGCTGGCTCTGACTGTTGCTTGGCACTTTTGCACCATAGCAGCTTGGAGTGCCCTCTCTTTCTGGAGGCTGTTGGATGAGTGCCAGATTGTGCTTTAACCGTGGACTCTATAGTCGTGGAAAGGGCCTTCAATGACAGTGGGACCTGAAGGGGTGTGATAGGGAAAAACAGCCTGTCTTTTATTAGTATTCTGTTATTGGCCCTCTGTTGATGTCGCAGTTTGACCATAAATAATATCATGTTTGAACATAAGCCAGAACCAAATACACACTCCGCCTCCTTAATTCTGAAATTCAACTATCAGATGGGCGTAGTAAAGGTTAGATTGTCAACTCTAGATCAGGGGACAGGTCCTACCTCATGTGTTTACGTATCGTGCAATGCTGTGCGGGAGGTGGAGATCAACTGGTGGATCGGGTCGGCGTCTGAAGTGATGCGGACACAGAGCCGGTCTGTTGTGGTAAAGAGGGAGCTAAGCCAGAAATCAAAGCTCCCAGTTTACATTGTGGTCTTTAACCCAATCCTCATCTATGGTCATGAGCTTTGGGTAATGACAAAAAGTCCATCGTTGAGAATAGAAGCAGCTAAAATGTGTTTGGGTGGCCGGTAGGGCTGCAACAAACGATTATTTGGATAATCGATGAATCGGATGGGGTCTCGACGCGATTAATCGATTAATCGGATTACATGGGGAAATTTTTAAAAACTGCTAGGGAAACGTTATTTCTCTCCTTCCTTCACTTTATTTAACACAACATTATTAGAAAACAGTTCAATAGCAGAAAAACAACATGCCATCACCTAAATTATCTTATAAGGTGTATAGACAGAGACCCTAAGCTACATCTATCTGTGACCTAAAATGCTTGGTCCAATTAAACAGCTTAAGGGCAATTCTCATCTGTTTTGTTTGATCTCATCTGTAGACATTTATTATAACTGGGGATGTCAGACAACTAATTTTTAAATGTAATTAAACATAGGCTGTGAATTAATCAAAATTGATCACTATTTCCAAAAATGACTGAAAAAATAAGTTGTCACACACTCCATGGAAACTTTCAGAGAATCCATAAATAGTGGCTTTCAAATGGTTTTGTTACTTTCTGCAAGTTTAGAAAAGAAGCAGATGAGACAGCATGTCTGATAATTTAGTTTTTCATCTGATAATATTAGAACATGTCAGTAATGTCTGAGGGGCTTTTATAAACACTGTATAACTAACACTACTGGAGAGGGTATGGATTACACAGAGGCTTCTGGGGAGCCCAGTAATGGGGGGGGGGGGGGGGGGGGGCATTTTGCCTTGGCCCCCAAAATGTCTTGAAACGGCCCTGGGTGTGTGACTGAGTGTTGAAGGTGACCTGAATAGTATCAAATTTATAAATATTACATGTGTGTAACTTATTGTTTTATAGGTAAAAACATGTAGTGGAGATAAATTTATCTACATTTTACTTTTCAACACTTTGTTTTGTTTTGTTGTTTTTATTGAACTATTTTCCTGTCCTGTCTGTCTCTCATCTTCCTGCATCTCCTCTTAATTGTCCAGAAAAACTGCTGCCTGGATTCTTACTTTTTCACCTCATCAGTTACTTCTTTTTTTTTTTTTTTTTTTTTTTTTTTTTTTACCGTGTCCTGTCTGGCTATGAAGCAAGCAGAATTGATGTCTGAATGCTGGTGACAAGCCTTACAGATTTATTCTCAGGTGGAGCATCAAAGCGTTTGCTTTTAATGTCACGCCTGATACTTAAAACTTTATTGTTATTGTTGATGAATGCTTTGTAATTCCGACCAGACACGGAGACAGAGGTGAAAGAGAAAGGAAAAGAAAAGGTGGGGAGAGAGAGAGGGGGGGGTTCCACAAAAATAAACAAAAATGAACAAGAGTCTGCTTCTAGACCTGCAGAAAAAGAGATTAAAAAAAACAACAAAGTGACACAAAAAAGGGACACAACAACAATACAACAAGATCTACCTATCACTGCGTCAACTTGATGAAAATAAGAATTATATATATATAATCAACATTGCTTAACTGAAGAATCACAATAATAAATCACAACGCATTAAGTGCCCACCATAGTCTTAAGACCTGTGTTTAACGTGCCCAAGCCCATACTTTTGAGAGCACCATGTGAGCACCTGTGTGTGTACACGCGCTTGTTTATTTAAGGTTTTTCTATAGGAGCGCCCAACAGAGAGTGTGAGGGACCACAGATCCGCCCCCCAAAGATGCGCAGGAGACGGGGGGAGCTCCAAGTCCCAGAGATCCAGGCGCTGCCCAGAACGCAGGAACCCCAAGGAGACTGCAACCAGGAAGGCCCCCGCCCCCCTCGAGAGGCACAGAGGATCGTCCCGGGGGGCCACAACCAGCAGCCGGCAGAGTCCCTGGAGACATCAGCGGCAAGCCCACAGGCCCGCCCGCAGCCTCCCACCCCCTAGCCGGCCGAGCCCGGGACCCAGCGACCCGGGACCCAGGGGCGACCACCCCCGCCGGGGACCCAGCAGAGCCCCAGGGACCCAGACCCCACCAGGCAGCCACCGGGATCTAACAGGCATATGCCAAAATCTTAAACCCTCAGACCCGGTTGCCACGAACACTCAGGCAGACCAAGGCACAAGCCCCCACACCAGGTGTAGCAGGGGGAGGGGGGACAGAGATCTATATCATCAAGAGAAGTTCCAGGAGAGGGGAGGACCCAAAGGCCCCACCTGACATATACAGTCATACACAAACACAGTCACACGCTCCCTCCCTCATGCTCACACATGCACATACAACCCAAGACTTACAAAAATGCACGCCGGACACCCACTCATGCTCCCCATACACACCCTATTCACTCTGGTCCCGGTACTGCTGCACATTGGGTACAACCATCACCGGTAACCAGAGTTTGACCCTTTCTGCTGGGGTGCTGATGAGCAGGCTCCCCCGCCCAACGCTGAGCACAGCAACCCACCACCCCAGACCCCAACCAGACGGCCAGATCTCCCTCCTAGCCTCCAGCCCCAGGAAGCCTAGCAACAACAGAGGTGGCTAAGACCCCTAGTCTCCCTCCGCCTGCTCCAATATAGTGTTGTGTGATCATGAGGTGTATTCCATGGCTGTGGCGAGTGGGCAGTGCAGGCATCGTCCAGCATATGCCAGCTGATGCCACTGCACCACCCCACTTACCCCTTCAGCCATCAGTGTCTAAGTGCGGTTTAAAATTGGAAGTGGGCACCGGCACTCGGGAGGAGGCTGAAATATCCCCCTGCCAAATGCCGTTGAATGTGCTCACTCCCAAGGCCCTAAGTGTCTGTTTGTGTGGAATGTCGTCAGTGGAAGTGTATAAGGTGCAAATAAAATTGGGGGGCAGGTTTCCTCAGGAATGCGGAAATGGGGTCCATACCCGCACTCCCTGACTTGCCTACCCCCCAAGGTCCTATGTGTATGTTTGTGTGATGATGTGAGGGAGCAGGAGGAGAGAAATATGCGGGGATGGGGAGGAATGGCTGGTTGGGCTTAGCCCTCCAGGGAGCCAGCTCCCCTACTGGCCCCAATAGGTACCTCTGTTGTCAAACTGCCACCCAGGGCATGGAGACCCCAGCCCATCCTGCCAGGGCCCAAAGCAGCAGCATTACAGAGCCTCACGGAGTCCGAGGGCACCAACCCAGCCCCACCCCAGCAGAATATCTATGCCCACCCCTGCATTTGCACAACTTCCAGAATATATACGACATTGGACATCCAGGTAAGGTTGGGTCCTCCCCCTCCTGGACCTCCCCCTCCCCTGTGATGGAACGGCAGAGGAGCCAAGGTCTACCTGAGGCCCCCGAACCCGGGCCAGGCACTGCTGGATGTCCCTGCCTTCTTCCCGGCAGCATACATGTCAGGACCCGACCCCCAAGGCCCCGCACAGATCCCCACACGGGGCCGGCCACCCCCAAACCCCGAGCCCCCAGGCCCCCACCCAGACCCGCCCAGGGGCATTGCAGCCGCCAGGCAGTGACCCATGGCCGCCGCCAAGATCCCCAAGGGGCCCCACTCACAACCGCCAGCATTCCACCCCCCGAGGCGACCCAAGCACCTCCAGAGGGGGGCAACGGCCCCCAGTCCCAGACACCCCCAGTGAACCCACCTCCAGGGAACATCCGGATACTCCAAACTCAGACCCCACACCCCCCCACCCACACCATCCCGCAGGACAACATCAACGGCCCCCCACCCTCGCTATGTGATGGAACCGATCAAAGGAGCCCAGAGAGATTCATCTGAAGTGGAAGCAGAGGCTATATCAAGTGCAATATGATCTAACAAAAGATTTCTATACTGGTTAATGCAGAGACTTTCTCTATTTTTCCAATTCAAGAGGATAGTTTTCTTAGCGATGCATATGGCAGTCAGAACCACGTGAACCAAAGATGTTGCAATCGGGACATCGTCCAGCTTCCCCAGTACACAAAGAGAGGGGGAAGTTGGGATATGACATTTCAGACATTTTGACAGATCCTCACATACTCTACCCCAAAATTCCTGGACAGGTGGGCAGGACCACAGTGCATGAATGTAATTGTCAGGAATGTTGTTTGTGCAGTGTGTACAGGTGTCAGACGACACAAACCCCATCCTGAACATCCGATGACCTGTATAGTGTACTCTGTGTAGAATTTTGTACTAAATTAATTGTAAATTGGGCTGTCTGATCATTTTAAAAGTTTTTAAACAAGTTTGGGACCAGAAGTCCTGGTCAAAGCTAACTGATAGATCCACCTCCCATTTTTCAATAGGGATTGCAATTTTATCGTCTATTTTGGACAGTGTCTTATATACTTTAGACAGTAGTTTGGGGGGTTTGAGATTATAAAAGTCTAATACCCTTGGTGGTGTTTCTAATTCTATTTTATTGAGCTTAAATTTTTGTTTGACTACAGATTTAATTTGGTGATAT